AGTTCGACAAGTAGTAAGATGACACTCTGAATGGTATAAAACTCTACACTCGATAATTCATCCGGTGATAATCATTCTGCGATGGGTCAATAACTAATTAAAGATAAGATCTGAAATGAATTCTCATTCATCTTAACAGGTTGAAATATGAAAGTTTGCAAACGAGGCTGCGGGAAAATTCCAGTCCACCCTTTGAAGCAATAATTACCATTACAGCAGCACAGGGGCGAAGAGCTGCAGGCTGATGAAGCTCCAATAGAAACTTCTAAGACTCTTTAATTGGAACATGAAGATTCAACAGATCAGATTCCCTGAAAAGTGTCTGCTTGTCTTACCATAATATACAACTTTACTAAGAATTTTACCTAAATTTAACTTTCTTTCCAAATATGTTTATTTTCCTCCTGCTGATGCCTTAAGGCTAATTTTAAATCCCCTCCAACAGTGAATTTACGTTATGTCTTAATCTAAAGCAATGCTGCACAACACACTGAGCAATAGTTGTTTAAATTTGCAGCAGCTAAGCTAAAAAGCCCTCCAAATACAAAAAATTGAATGTTGGAGCAAATACATTTGCATTTGTTTGCAGCAACCCCTATTTTAATTATTTGTACAACCATCTTTCCTCCTCGAGTCTTTGAGATCACACCTGACTCAGATTTGTATGTCTTGGGACCACTTTTAAAATCATTTTGCACAAACTAGCAAGAGTTCAGTCAGACTTTATGAACATCAATAATTTTAATGATGTCTGAATTTTCATTGTACAATGACAATATAGATGGCATTGTGTTTAGCACCACCCAACTTCCTAACACACTTTCTACCTTCCTTGTGCCTGGAAAAAAAAAAAAAAAAACAGAACTGCATGTGCGTGTGTGTGTGTGTGTGTGGGGTGTGTGTGCGGGGTGTGTGTGTGTGTGTGGTGTGTGTGTGTGTGTGTGTGTGTGTGTGTGTGTGTGTGTGTGCGTGTGTGTGTGTGTGAGATAAGTCTGCAGTTGAATTCATAGCAAAGCAGCCAACATTGTCTTGATCGATATTTATAACAGAGAAAAAAAATCTATAATTTTGCTCCATGTGAGCAAGAGGCTCCCCAAAAATATTAGCTAAATGAAACCAAAAAATAGTGAATGTAATCTGAAACAGCTGCAAGAGACCAAAATACATGCAATAATTATCTTTACCAGTGTTTTCTTTTGCTGATAAAAAGTAATTTTTTGGTCTCCACCTTATAACTCTTTAACAAGCTTGTAAGGGAGGGTCTATCGGATAGCTTTAGATCTATTGTTTCTGCGAGTTGTATTAAATATTCAGTATGTTATGTGGATTTCAAAGGTGTTTGCTGCATTATTAATAAGACAACCAGCTTGCAAGGCGATGGTGTGAGAGCTATAATAATGTCAGAAAGTCTGGTTTGAGATGCTTTAACTAAAACCCATCATCTTCTCTGCTCCGCTGCTTCCTTTTCCCTTGAAGACGCCTAATTAAATACATTGTCATACTCTGATATTTATCTATTCACGGATTTAGTCCGTTTTCTTGGTTAAATCACTTCCTCTGTGTAGAATCCACTGACATGTAATAAAATGAAGTAAAGCTTAAGGAATTACATTAATCTACATGTCAGATGACCTGATATTACGCTTGCGTCCAAAACAAACACTTCATCAAGCTTCCCTAATTCTGTTTGATGTAGATTATTTCTAAAACTGCAGGCACACCTTTACATACAAAGCTGAAAAGATGAAATCCCTGTTTCTCATGCTGTTGCAGTTTTCATGACTAAATATCTTCACACAGCTTAGTGTTAATTGGCCCATCATGGTCTTTTTTCTCTTTGGCCTCGGTTTTATTTGGTTTATATGAGCGTGCCTGTAATAAAGCTTTAATGCTTTACCGTGGGGAGATTATCTGACCATGCTACAGCAGTGGACATTATCACTCAACTACATGCTTCACTTCGTCTTCGCTCATTGGTCAGAATAGCGGTTGGGGAGCTTGCCACAAGAGCTGCTTTGTAAACTGTATTTGTGCCTGCGAACGCGTCTGTTTTTGTGCACTTCAGTGCGTGCAAACAGTGTGCGTTTGTGTGTGTCTGCGCATGGCTTGTTCTTGTTTCGTCTCACTGACTGTGTCTGTAGTGTGTTAGATGATGTGAGACGTAGCGTGTGTACTTGTGCGGGCGTGCTGCTAGAATTTGTATGTGGTGTTTGTCGGCAGGGTGTGCAGGCTTGTAGAATGACATTTGGTGAAACGTGGCGGCGGGAGAGGAAACATCTGACTCATAATTGAAGTGCCATGAAAGAAATATGGTCATGAATCTGTATTAGGCTTATGTGCTCAGCTTTAAAGCAGTGGCAGGAGCAGGAGGCAGCATGCTCAGCCTGACTACCTTCCCACCCTGAAGGCTGATTACAACGCTCAAAAGGATACTCCACAAAAATGACAGAGGAAAACACAGCGTATTCAAGGCGAGGAGTCCTGATGACAAAATCGATAGGCCGTAGCGCTCTCATCTCCATCAAAAAGAGAGTCTCAGGATGAATGTGGCTGTGCTTCTGTGATTCACCCACAGCAATCATCTCAATGTCCTGAAGGATAAAGCAGCACTCCTCCGTCACCCTCCTGCTACTCACTTGTACAGCCCTCTGCGCTGAAGGCTCATGCAGTCTGCTCTTTGAACAGAAAAAGTAGAGATATCCCATTTCTCAGCTTGTTTTCAGAAAATAAATTGCAACAGATGAAAGGTTCCTGTGTCGGTTCAGAGACCGCTGGCCCTTTAAAGAAATGATCGTTACAATTGTAATTATCTTTTGTCAAAAACAGATATGTCTTATTGTTGTATATTATATATTTCCATGTATATTATGACTAAAAATTTATATTTTGAACAATAGTGTAAGATCCTAAAACAGAAGGTAAATATTAACATTGTCTGTTTTCTCTTACAGAAGTCAGCATTTTTTTGCAATGCTCTTAAAAATAATTTCAAGCATAAACTGTGTGACACACAACTGTAGACAATAATATAGAAATACTACATGTATGAAAATCCTATTTAGAAATTCACATTTGTCTTTTAGACAATATAATATGCAATACATCAGAATACTTATCATTCTACCATCTTATAAGAGGCTCAGAAACTGAAAGAAAAAAAAATCCAGAGTATTTCATATTGAAGAGCTTGGCTACCATCCAGGTTGCTGAGTTTAAAGTGTCTTAGTTAAGAATCGCAAATTTATTTAAGATTGTAAGTTGCATATAGATCATAATTAATTCACAGTGGTTCAGCTGATATCCTGTGATTTGCAGATTTATTAAGGTATGTATTATATTGTGTTGCCTTGCAAAGTGTAATGACGCGACGCAATAAGCACGTAGGATGACAGCTGGTTTAGTTTGTAGGGTTTCTATAGAAAAAAAGAGCAACATTAAATTCTGTGATACATTTGTTATAGTGCTGCTCCTTAACCAGAACCTTAATTCAAAAGCTCAATAGTAAAAACTGAGCCTTCATTTTGCAATGTTTAATGTTACTGATCGTGTTAAATCTACTTATTTTATGCACTCTGTTAAATTTCTCACTATGGTTTCTTTTAGCACCATAGCAAATATTATACAGGAGTCTTGGTTAGGTGTAGTTTATGCTTTTTAGTACAATTTACATACATAAACAGGTAGAACCTGGGTAGGTTTCCAAGGCCACTAATGGCATTTATATTTTCATGAAGGTCACTTTTTTTAATCAGGGAGTTAGTCTGACTAAAAACACTTTTTCTTTTCAAAGCAATTATTTCACAGGAATATTCTTGAGGGTGGACCACCTCTTATCTCCGTCACATGTTTAAAGTCATTGCTTCTCTGTGCATAATCGCCCAATGCAACTGTGATGATGTTTACATAACAATTTTTGCATAATTCACAAAAAAAAAGAAATTGAGACTGAATTTCTTTTAAGCCTGGAAAAGTTTCCCAAATAATTTATGATCAGTGAAGATATTATGAGTTATTGGTTTGAAGTAAATATCTGATTATGATGTTCCATCTAAACATCACTTCAATAATTTCACACTATTTCTTTTAGCATGATGAATAACTTGATATTTACTGTGAAGCCTGAGTAACTGGGAAACCCCCAGAATTAAAAATACTGAAAAATAGACAAACAAATAGGCACTTGGGTCTTTTTACTAGACTTCCCATCTATTTAAAGAGAACATGATGACAACCGACACACTTTATATTACCAACCAGCAACAAATTAAGTAAAATCTGAGGCAATATTTCAACAAGCAAACAGCAGGGAGATTTGATTTTCCATTCAAACGGTTTGTCTATAACCACTTTAAATGTGAAAAATATATGTGGATGGAGATCAATTCTGTCCCAGAGATAGATGGAAAAGGTACAAAGCTTGGGTTGTGCACTAACAAACTCCATTTTGTGCTGCTTTAGCTGTTTCCATGGAGCTCTCAGTCACTCTCTGTCACTGTCTCTCTCTCTCTCTCTCTTTTTCTCTCTGCCCTCCTCAGACCACACAGACACACACACGCACACAAGTGTCTGAAAGGGGATTCATCGGTGTGAGTTTGTCTGCAACTAACTGCAACCCAGGAAGATCCTCTTTTACCACTAACAAACCCTTTTCCTCTCCTCTGTCTCCCCTGCATCACACCCATCTCCTCATTTCTCAGTCTCATTACAATAATTTCCTAATTTATTCCAAATCCCAGCCACAACAACAAACCCACACTCAGCCGACTCAATTACAGCAATTTGATCCACAACCAGACTGCATACAAGCCACCACATCAAAACGAAGCATAAAGGACACTCCATATTTTACAGTTGCGCTTGTGTTTTTCATTAGGCCTCATTTAGAGTGTGTGAGGCAATCAGGAGCTCTCATTACACCCAGATGCCCTATAAAGATGCCCCAGAAAAATGCCCTTGAAGGACAAGGTAAAACAGAGAAAAACAGAAGAAAGTATGCTTACCGAGGACGCCGACCCGATAGTTGAGAGTGATAACGATGACGTTTCCATAGCTGGCCAGGACGCTCCCATCAATCATGTTGCCAGTCCCCTCCATGTAAGACCCTCCGTGGATGTAGACCATCACAGGCTTGGCCCCGGTATCTCGTATGTCTGCAAGAGCGTCCATCATTAACATATTCACATAGTCATCCACCCGCCGCGGTCAAAGGGTCAGCTCAGATTCAGATACAGCACATGGTGGGCACAAACAAACAAACTGACAACCCCCTCCCAGATACCAGCTGGAGTCAAACAGTGCAGCCTGCTGGCCTGCTAATGGGAATTGGTGCAATATTTTTCTACAGTTTCTGCTCTAAGAAAAACAAATTAAGCTCACTTGAGTTCAACTCTGTCGCTATACATCCATACACATGCATATATAGTACTTTGCAAAAGTGTTGAAAATGCTATCTCTGGAGCAGATGGCGCCAGACTACCCTGAAAAGATGATAAAACATAGTGGACTTGGCATCATACTGTGGTGATGCCTTTGCTTAGCATGTGCAGCAAAGCTGAATAGAGATGAAGATCAATTGAGTCTGATGCAGAATGTTCCACAAAGAACATTTGTGGCTTTCCACCTTTGGAAAGCTGGACAGGATTTGAGTCTGTGGTAGAGATTCATCTTCAAGCAGCACAATGACCCAAAACATAGTACCGCAGGTACAATGGAGTAAATTAGATCTAAGTATATTCATGTTTAGGAAAGGCTTGCTCAAAGATCTCCCCTACATTACATAGAAAGGCCAGAAAATATATTGCTATTAACAATGTGCATTCACTCTGACTGAACTCATGGTATTCGCAAATAGAATTGAAAAAAAAAATCTTTCAATGCGCAAAGATGGTTGAAGCATCTTTCAACCATCTTTGAAAGATGGTTAATTAAAGATCTAATTAGATATTTAATTAGACTTAAAATTCTAATTACAGTTGATTGTTTTGCTCCAGAGTCTGAATACAAATGCAGGTCACACTCCTCTGAATGTTTGTGGTCATGAAGTTCAAAAATGAGAAAAAGTTTAAGTTATATTAATACTTTTGCAAAGCACTATACATATGGCAAACTATTAGTTTGTATTTGGCTACCTTGCAGGAGCAGAGCCACTACTTTACATAAATATGCAGAAAACCATTAGGGGGAATAAAGAGATAGGTACTCTGACAAATCTCCTAAGCACGGAGAAGGCTAATCTGGCCTGACAGTGATAGGGGGAAAACACACAAGCTAATTACACACAACTATCTTGCTATCTTTTTTTTTTTTTTTTAACACAGTCCCATAGAATAACAGATGCAAAATTGTTTGCATAGTTCCTGTCTGGACATGACTGCAAGCTACATTTTCTGCTTCATTTTTTGGTAACAGTTGTTTGTTTTGCTTCCAAAGCTGAGGTTTCGATACCCAACTGAGGTGACAGTCAAGCCAGAAAGAAACAGCACATCCAGGGGTAGGGGAGGAGAAAAAAAGCCTCTGTCTAAGGAATAGACTTGAATTACTGGAGCTGGGAGACAAGACAAGAAACTCTCATTTTCACTCCTTCTACCCCCAACGTTTCTGTGTAGCTTCTTGCCTCCGCCCCTCTTCCCCTCCTACTTTGTATCACTTTCACTCACAGTCTCTCCCCCGTGTTTCTCCCCTGCCTTCCCTCCATCTCTGTCCAACACTCTCTCCTTTCTTGCAGTGGTGAGAATGAGAAGGGGTAGGAGGGCAGAGTGATGAAGACAGAAGGAGAGTAGAATAAAAAAGACAGCCAGAAAAGAAGGAAATTGAAAAAAGGAGAACAGTAAAAAAAAATAAAAGCATAAAAAGAAAGAAGGAATGACTCAGATTTAAAACGAATGGCATTGTATTCTGGTTGCTCTGGTTACTGAGAACCAAAATCCTCAGCTATGTCGTTCAAAATAGCCTGAATCAATCTTCAACGTCCTTTTCTGATGGTTATACATCCCCCCGTCTTCTCTGCTAATTTCGGACAACAGCAGAAATGCTTTATGGAGGGACACATTTTGTTCCTTTCGCCCATTGCAGGGCTAAATCTTGTTTTCTCCCTTCCTTATTTCACTATCCCCTGGGTTATTTGTGGCTCTGTTAGGTTTAAAAGCAAAGCAGTAACTTGTATATGATATGGACTTATTTATGGCTACCTTTATCTTGCTGGTATCTGAGAAGGCTACACGGTGAAATGTGATTTATAGCTGACACTTCTCTGGACACACTTATCTGAGACAAGTGCAGGAGGAGGAGAGAGGAGATGAGTGGGAGGAGGGGATCCATGAGGTGAGAAAAAGCATTAAAACTACAGTCAGAGAGGGGAGGAAGAACCGAGAGATGAGGTGAGGAGGAACGAGGGAGCAGCAGGACGATATTCTCCACAAGCTAATCAAACAAAAGGCCCACAGATACAAAGAGAATGACAGACAGGTAGAAGGAACAGGGAGCAGAAATACAAAAAAAAAGAGAGATTAGTTGTGTCAATGTTATCAGTCACCTCTTTTGTCGATTCACATTGGGTCTCCATTTGGAGACGTTTCCACTTATTCTAAGTCAATCTGACATGGGATGTGTCACAGATATGATCCAAATATTTGATTTTGTTGTCAGAGGAATGTATAAGCTTATACAGGATTTCACCTAAATTGTTGCTTCGCAGAGAAAATAAGATAACACATATTTTTGTGTGTTTGTTTTGGGGGGGAGGGTTTCCAGTCACATCTGTTGTGCAGAAAAAAATATTATTTCATTCTGATCAATTATAGTGGTGTTTTTCTGGATGGCCCAATCTGTTGAACAAGGTGACTTAAAAGCATCCTGACTCAAGGTAAGTACAGCATTACATTAACACATATTATTATTAGCATCAAGACTTAGCACCAAGTTTTGGCTGAAAAGAAAGGAGAGATAAATTAATTAATGCACAGAGTGATGTACATATACATTGGCTGGTTAGCGGTATCATGGTACGCCTGGGTCTTAAAAAGTTGTGGTTCTAAAACTCTAAACATTTTACATCCTTTTCCAGTTATTTAAAAATGTTTCTACGAGATTACAAAAAAAAAAAAAAAAAACTTTCAGACTTAGCACAGCTTTTTTTTTTTTTTTATATATTTGGAGCACACAAGAACAGCTCTCCCCAACTCTTACCTCATGCGCACTGCTGAGCAGCTGGCTCAAAGACATCTACTGCAGTGTTCCCTCGCTTACTGTAAAGATTGCTAAAGCAATGCATTTTTAAGCTACAGTTGGCAAAATTCAAATGCCACGGCACTTCTGTAGACATGGTTGCTAGCTGTGCAGGTAGCCTGACTAATTAATCCGCAAATACAAGTCAGCAAAAAGAAAAAAAGAAGCAAAAACATCTTAGGCTCCAGGAAGAGTACTGTAGACTTTTCAAAAAGAACTGCATCTACACTACAGGAGGGTTTCCAATAAAAAAAAAAAAAAAACTGGCATAATTGTAAGCCTGGCTAAAAATATATCTAGGCTTCTTGTAAAATAAGGGTAACAGTTTCAGTTTACTCTTTTTCCTTTCAGTCATTAATTTCATGAGGATATTTAAGACTACATTTGTCAGAATGGCCAAAGGCCAATACATTATTGTTAAAATATAATAATTTCTGGAGGAAAAAAAACAATTGATGGGTTGTGAATACGACTGTCATGACACCGTCATAAACATGACATAACACCTGTCATGAACATGAAAAAGTCTAAATAAATATTTATGACTGTTGTCATAAAGTGTCATTCGGTAAATCATGACACTTTTAATACACAGTTGACATTATTCAAAATGTCTTTGTTATGACGACTTGTCATTAACCAAGAAATCAAGATTTGACAAATTTGTTATAAAAGCATTACTGATTAAACTTTAAAAAATATACAGCTTTATGTTATTAAAGTTAAAGTTTATGACAACAGTCATTAATATTTATGAAGACTACGAAAACATATACAATGTTTTTTGTATGGATGAGAGGTACAAAAATATATTTAAAAAAAAAAATCCAGTTTTGCAAAAATAATTAGGTTATCTCATCACCTATAAAGTTGGAGCTACAGTTGGGACTTAATAAGGCAATAAGCTTCTTAGTTTACTTTGCCTGAAATAGAGCACAATGAACAAAAATATAATTAGCAACAAATGTTTGAAAACCGAGTTCTTGCAGCTGTTTATTCCACATTTTGCTTAATTCTCTGCATCAAAAAAAGCCCACAAATAGAATGGAGATGACATTATTATAACTGTGATAATTAATGCATACTATTACTTTAGCAGCAGTAGAAATAATTACTTTTCTGTTTATATTACAGCATCTTCATCGTGTTGCACAGTACCATGATACCGTTAAACCATAGCATTTTTGCTAAGAGTTATCATACCTTGAGTAATCTTGGCACATGCCTATTGGTATGCTCTATTAAAAGTCCATGCAAGATTAACTCAAAATGTGAAACAAAGCAAATACATTCATGTTTTGAGGAAATTTAAAAACAAAATTTAAAAAACTGTGAATGATGGAAATGTAGAAACCTGATGGGCAAAGAGTAATACTTACACAAATCAGTTTTCTCTTATTTATTTCCCCAACAGATGAGTGTGATCATGCAGCTCCTATTACACTGAGACATACATCCATACACTCCCAGCACTTATTTTATAAGCAGCACATTATTGCACCACAGAAGAACAAATTTTCTTACTATTGCCCAGTGCATAAATAAATCAAAGGTTCTCTGCTTGGGCAACGGCGACAGTTAGACCTACAAATACATCACAGGGCATGAATTTTAGAAAAGGACTAAGGGGCACAACCTTTCAAAGGTGCCTGTGGACTGATTGAAGTGTCAGTGGGAGGCATAACTCAAGCCGACGCCGAGCCTCTTAGTGTTGCTGCTGCAAGTGAAACCAGCCAGGAGGGCTTTGAGCACTCCTTCCTTCCTCTGCTATCTTATTTTTTCTCTCCACCTGTACCCCCCACCGTTTTGCCCTTAGCCTTTCCCCTGCATCGAAAGCAGTCAGTCATATATATCTGACGCTGAAAGCACCAGAACCCGGCCTTGACACTACGGAGTGGGACAGGACAAAGCTGAGTGGAGATAAGTG